AGCTTGTAGCAAAAGGCTCAGGGTTTTGCGAGGTTGGCGAGCGATGATGCAGAGCCGCTGACCTTGAGGACGATGAAGGAGGATGGGTTAGCACTTGGGGATGCGACGGGCAGTGACATGCTATGCAGGTGTACCCAGCAGTGTCTGGGGCACCCGGGGACTGAGTGGTGCTTGAAAAAGGTGAGGAGACACTGAAATAATTTTCAGAAGTGATCTATCATCGTGCCAGAAAAACCACGTACGTAGTACAGAGGATCTTGTCATGTCATCCTGCAATAAAAACTATGTGAAAACCATGCACGGAGAAAGCCGTTAGAATGGCCAAAGCCAGAACACGGACAACACCGGACACTGGCGACAGTGTGGACCTCCCACCCACCACTGATGGGGACGCGAACGGTGCAGCCACTTGGGGAGACATTTTGTCAGTTTCTTACACAACTGAACATATTCTTATTATGCAAATCGGTAATCATGCTCTTTAATATTTTCCCAAAGAATCGAAAACTTATGTCCACTCAAAAACCTGTACGAGGTTGTTTACAGCAGCTTTATTCATCATTGCCAAAATCCGAAAGCAACCAAGATGCCTCAGGAGGTGAGAAATACTATTTAGTGCTAAAAAGGGAAAAAAAAGCTATCAAATCAGGAAGAGACATGGAGGAAACGGAAATGCACGTAGTTAAGTAAAAGAAGCCAGTCCGAAAAGGCCACATTCTGTATGATTCCTACTAGACGACATTCTGGAGATGGCAAAACTGGGGGGCAGTGAAAAGCTCGGGCCAGGGCTTGCGGGGAGGGAGGGACGAAGAGGTGGCACACAGAGGACTTTTCAGGCAGCGGAAATAGTCTGTATGATGTGAGAATGATGTAGACATGTCACGATACATTTGTACGAACCCCCAGAATGCCCAGCACCAAGAATGCACTCGGAGGCCTAAATTTAACTGGTTTTCATGATTTTCGTTTATATTTTTAGGATTAAAATCGAATCAAATCTTTTTTTCCCCTCTGAACGACAACATTTGGATCCCTATGTTAAGTAGAATCGCTTTCCGAGCGTAAGCACGTCAGGATGCCAGGCTCCTCCCATGTGTGTTGGGTCTTCCCGGTCATCGTGTGGGGTCGTTTTGGATGCTTTGCAAGCGCTGAGCTGGGGGTTTGGGTGACCTGAGCAGCAGCAAGCGACATGTGAAGCGAGGCGGGGCGGCTCCTGCAGGTCTGGTCCAGGTCTGGACGCCTGTCTGACGCCTGCCGGCCATTCTGCTTCGAAAGAAAGGCCAGCGGGGCCCCTCTGTGCCCCCAGACCTGCCGGTGGATCTGGGTCCTTCCATGAGCCTGTGCTGTGACACCCCCCTGCACTGGGCTCCCGCAGGGACAGCCCGCCCGAGACCCCCAGGCCCGGCCACCCTCGTGGATTTGTCCTTGGTGCAAATGCAGACGCTCCTAGGAGAGGAAGGCGCGCCCAGGCCAGCAGCTCATGGCTTGCTCCCTGAGGTGACAGGTGAAGGAGGTTCCCGAGGTTGGAGGAGGGCGGCCCCCCCAGAAGAAAACGAAGCCCGGCACAGGCGCGGCGGCCGGAAGCCCAACCGCAGGGCGGCAGCGCAGCCGGCCGTGTTCCCAGGTGTTCCCAGGTGAACATCGGTGTTCCCGAAGTTCGTGTGCACGCGCACATCCGTCTCTCTGTCTGTCTGTCGTTCCTCTTACGTCCCTTCATTTCCCGACGCCGCGGGCCCTTATCCGATTTGGCCTTTCAGCGATACTGACCCTCATCTCTTTCTCTTCTGTCGCGCCTTCGTGTCCGGTCCTCATTTTATTCCGATGTCTCGGTTTCGTGTCCTTTCAGCTCTTATTTTCTCATTTTTTTCCATTTCTTATGGATTCCTTTTCCCTTCGCTTCTGTTTATTCCCCCCGTTCTCGTGCCGTGGGCTTGGGGCGCAGACGCAGCGTTTCCTGCTTCGGGCCTTTCATGTGGGCGAGGCGCCAACTCCGGCGAACGCTTCTGAGGTTACCTGTCGAAAGACGGGAGTGCTGTGGTTTTTCTCTTTCCAATAACTTTTTGACACATGGAGCCACTTGCTGAAGAAAAGAAGCTCGTTTTTGGTGGAGGCGAAACTAGCCGAACACAGTCGAGCTGCGTTTCCGACGGCGTTTCTCCCTCCTGTTCATCTGCGGCTTCTTTCCTCTCCTTTTCCCTCCTCTCCTGGTCTCTTTTTCATTCTTCTTTTCTTTTTTTATTGGAAATCGAGACAGCGGCTCCCAGGCCGGCCCTGAGCAAATCTGTGACACACAGAGAGGCTGGGACAGAGGCTCTGTCACGTTCCCGTACTTCTCGCCCAGGGCCCGTGTGCTTTGTGACATGTCACCCTCCTCCTTCGGCGGCGGGTCCCAGTTCCTTAGCGGCAGCAGTGAGCCCTCCAGATCCACAAGGCGGCGATGACTGCTGAATAGACTGGCGTGTTCCCCCTCCGAGCTCTCGCCATTCTGAGAAGCGATGCCTGACGTTCACTCTCTAGATCAGGTTCTTAACCAGTTGGGTCTCAGGATCCCTGTATACGCTTTTTAAAAACTGATCAAGGTACGAACATCTCACGTGAGCTCTACACTCTCAGCAGGTCGTGAAGTTTGCAAACAGCGTGACCGTCGACGGGCGCCGTGCTGCACGGCAGGTCTCTAGAACTTACTCCTCTGTCATAACTGGAGTTTTACCCCCCTGGTTCGTAATCCCACATTGCTCCCTTCCCTCGGACGCTGGCGACCACTGTGCTATCCTTCGCTTCTGTGAGATGGACTGTTTCAGATTCCACATATAAATGAAATCACGCAGTATTTGTCCTTCTGTGTCTGGCTCATTTCACTTGGCAGATTGTCCCCTAGGTTCATTCATGGTGTCGTAGACGGTAGGATTCCTTATTTTTTAAGGCTGGATAATATTCCATTGTAATATATGCCGTGTTTTCTTTATCCGTCCACCCACGGGTGGACACTAAAGTTGCTCCCAGGTCTTGGCTCTTGTGAGTAGTTCTGCCGTGAACACAGGAGCGCTGAGAGCTCTGAGACCCTGGTTGCAGTTCTATCGGATGAATACCCAGAAGTGAGGTCACTGGGTCAGATGGTGGTTTCTGAGGAACCGCCATGCCGTTTGCCATAGAGGCAGCATTTTACACTCTGATTTCTCCACATCCTCGCCAACAACTGTCTTTTTTTTTTTTTTTTGAGTAATAGTCATCCTAACAGGTGTGAGGTGACATCTCACTGTGGTTTTGATTTGCATTTCCCTGATGATTAACGACATCGAGTAACTTCTCATATATTTCTTGGCCATTTGTATGCCTTTAGAGAAATGTCTATTCAAGTCTTTAGCCCATTTTTTAAACCGAGCAATTAGTTGTGTTTTTTTTTTTTTATTGAGTTATAGGAACTCCTTATATATTTTTAGATATTAACCATGATCAGGTAGATAGTGTTCGAATATTTTCTACCATTCTATAAATTGCCTCTTCTTGCGCTGGATTGTTTGCTTGGCTGTACAGAGGCATTTCAGTTGGATGGAATTCCACTTGTTTACATTTGTCTGTTGTTGCCTGTGCTTTTGGTGTGATGTCCAAAGTATCGTGGCCAAAGCCAATGTCATGAAACTTTCTATTATGTTTTCTTCGGGAGATTTTACAGTTTCAGGTCTTACCTTTAAGTCTTTCATTCATTTTGAGTTGATTTTTATATATGGTGTAACGTAAGGGTCCAGTTTCATTCTTTTGCAATGTCTATTTGCAGTTTTTCCAACATTTGTTGAGGAGACTGTCTTTTTCTCGTTGTGTATTCTTGGTACTCTTGTCGAAGATCAGTTGACCATATACATGCGGATTTATTTCTGAGCTTTCTATTCTCTGCCATTAGTCTATATTTCTGTCTTGTTCTCAGTACCATACTATTTTAATTATTGTAGCTTTGTAGTATAGTAAAATCAGGACAAGTAATGCCTCTAGCTCTGTTTTTCTTTTTCAAGATCGTTTTGGCTTTTTGTGGTCTTTTCTGGTTCCACTGAATTTTAAAATTATTCTTTCCCTTTATTCTCTTAAAAATGACTGAGGACCCTATAGAGTTTTTGTTTATGTGGGTTATAGCTATCAATATTTTGCATATTAGAAATTAAAATTGAGCACAATTTAAAAGACCAGAATTTACAAGCACATATCTTAGCCATCAGAGACTCTGCAAATGTCTACTATATATTCTTATGGGATAAGAGTGAATTTCTAAGAATATATCTATCCTTGTAGAATAAGAGTTAAAAAGGTAAATTACATCTTAATCTAAATTAAATATAAATCATATAAATAAAATTGGTTTGACCTTGCAGATCTAAGAGAGACATGAGGGTCCCCTGGGGTCCTTAGCCCACACTATAAGAACTGCTGATTTAGATATCTGATGATCGTGTTCTGAGTGCTGTCTGCTGGGTATTCCAGCTATGGTGATGGGAAGGTAGGAAAACCTTGGAGGACTTTCTTGGCACGCAGGCATTCGTAGAACACATGGATCCCCACTTTATGTGTAAGACAACCCAACCCATACATCTGAAAGATGAGTTTATGTGTGTATTCAAGGAAAATGATTAATATCAAAGTCGGTATGGTGGCGGTCTAGGTGTTTGACGCACAGTCAATGCGTGAGTCATCAGCCAGCATCACTGCAGAGAGGTCTTGTGAAATCCTCTTGATGTGATCACTGCCGAGAAAAGCATGAGGACCAGGGGTTGCGATGATGTTTCTTGTTATATGGTTAACCAAGTAAAACTTAAGAGAAAAACGTGTGAACATATTCTCTTAAAAGCCTTTTGCTTACAAAAATATGGCATAAAGATATCATTTACAATCAAACAAAACTATGTTAAATAACATCACCAATCACTTTTGGTAGAATTTTCTGGGTAGCTTCTACCGTCGCATTGAAAACTGTGAGGACAGAAGTGTGATCATCCGTTGTGTCTTCTTTTCAGAGAGTTTTGAGGTAGCTGTCTCATCGAATAGCCACGTGGTCTCAGAATCCGGAAAAAATGTCACTCTCACATGTGAGCTTCCAATGAAGCGGCCACTGCAGCAAGTGACCTGGGAAAAGATCCAGTCCCATCAGATCGACCGCTTAACTAGCTGCAACTTGTCCCAAGGAAGGGGTCACACCTCGAAGTACCGAAGACAGGTCCTGAGCAACTGCAGCCAGTGGGTGACAAGGGCCTTCATCACCCTGCCGCACGTCACGGCCCGGGACGCGGGACTGTACCGCTGTTCCTCCAAGGCCAGCTCAGGAGACAACGAGACTTTCGTGATCAGGTTGGCCGTGACCGATGGTGAGTAGGTGACAGATGTCCAAGCGTCAAAAACGGAAGAAGCCAGCCGCTGTGGGTTGGTTCCTTTTGTCTTTTTCATGATTCTGTGGTTCAAAAATATTTTTAATGCTTAGATTCAGTTATCGAGTGTGAGTATTTAGTATTTGTTTATCTTGTTCATCCATTGATCACGGACTTAAAAATAATAGATCTTTCCCACTTTCACGATCTGCCACATTTTCTTAAAAAATTCAGCGAGTCTGAAAAAGACATGCCATCAACAGCCGATCCGTTTCATCTGTGTAACTCTTATTTTTCAATTACATTAGAACTTTCGATGGTGGTGACTAGGTTTTAGCATCTTCACGGGTCCTCGGCAATAACAGGATGGCACTATTTGCTGAATGACTGTTGAGTGGAGTGGAATTCCATAGACGCTTGACGATGTGGCCGCTCCTTTGCCAGGTCAGAGCTTTGAGTCCCTCAGCTGTTTTCAGAGTTGGGAGCAGAAGCACGCTGGCCTTGAAGCTCTCGAAGCTGCTCTTTGGGGCTTCTCAGCTCAGCAGGCTCCTCCCCAGGCCCGTCCTAATTCTGTATTAGTGGTTCGTCTCCTGTGTCACGATGAAGCCCTAGACTGCTTGAGACGCTGGCCCCGCAAAACCTGTGTGAGCGTAAGAAAAAGTGATTTTTCGCTTACGAAGTGCAAATGCAGAGAGGCCTTGCGGGAGTGGGTACGGAGGCCCGCGGTACGGTGAGTGGGAGGGAGAAAGGCCCTCCTGAATCGGCCTCTGGCTCTTCTCTCACTGCACAAGGCCATGCCGGAGGAAACAGTTATTCTTGCTGGTGACAGAAATTTCACTTGATTCTCCCTCCCTCCCTCCCTCCCATCTTCCGTTCCCCCTGCCTTTCACACGCTTCCAGCCGGCTCGTGTGCCTTGGCTTGTGTGGATTTTAGAACCAAGCCTTCCTCAGATTCGTCTGTCCCTTCATGGACCGCGTAGGCTGCAGACTGGTGTTTCTTCCTGTATGTGAACTTTAAGTCTTAAAGCTTTTGTGTTCTACGCAATGTTCTACGCAATGGCCTCCACCGCCGCGGCTGCTGTAACCGTAGCTGTGCGCTAAGGAGACTGTTTGCTGGAGCATATTTGTTTCTCATGCCGTCACCTTGGACCACACTGAGCCTTTTGTTTCTCTGAATGACAGTGGAGCTATGGGTGAGACATACATTAGAACTCGATTTAAAAAAAAAGTGTCAATGGACTCTTTAGGGGAGAAAAACAAACAGAGATTCTTTATTTTAAATGTTGACTCCATTCCTTCAGACATATATAGACTCTATTTCTTACCTAAAAATAACCTTACGTTACCGAAGTTTTCAAAGCTGGCCAGGAGATAGAAAGAATAAAAACAGTCACCAGTCTTCTCTGAGAAACCGAGGCAAGAAAAAGTTCTATTCAGAAAAATGTCATAAAGAACCATTTTCAAACATATATGAAATAAGATCTTGTTCATTAAATGTTGAAGAAGTGATTATAAACCTCTTAAATCATAGAGAAAGGGAGATGATGGATTTTTAGGAGGTATAGATGTTTAGTTCTTACTAATAAAAATGTCTTTTTCTTGTCCAAACATGACTGAGTTTCCTACACAAAACTATTTATTTTCTTTGTACAGAGGGCACAAACAATGTTGAAAAGGAAAGTGACTAAATGTAATGGTCAGTATTATTAGTGTCCACGTGTTTTGAACACACACTAAATGTCTTTTTGACATTCAAATTCACAGGTTGAAAGAACATCATCTGAGCCTGTTAGGAATGCATTATAACTGACAGATGACAGCTGTTCGCTGTATGGTTAGGTTTAATTCTCTTTTTAAAAAACTATAAGTAAAGACTGAATATTTAAAAAAATCAGATGGAAAGCAAAAATAGATCAGTTGCATTTTCTCTGGTTCTGTTTGATTATTTCAGGTCTTAAGGCTGTTTGGTCAAAAATCGATGTAGAGATTAAAGCCGAGAGACACAGCTATAAGATGTGGAGCGGATTTAATTTATTTCAGCTGTCAAGGGAAAGGTGCTTATGACACAACTTTTATAAACTGCCACGCATCCTTTTGTGAGCTCCATCAACTTCTTTCGTGGTACCCAAAAGAGAGATTTTCAGTATTCTCCTATTCTACAGACACACACACACACACACACACACAGGGGCCCTTGCCCTGACATGTGTCTGCCTGCGTTCATCTTCAGACAAGTCCCGGGGACTCAGAGGTCACCCAAAAGATGACACGATGTCAGCTAATATGTCATAGACAGGCCTTGATGTATTTTGAACAGAGAGAGAAAGTGGCAGAAGCATGAGGTGGACCCACATTTACTATTGACTTTCTTTGCTCAATGGAAAGAAATGCTCGTCTCCCGTCCTTTGCACTCAGGGATGGGACAGGACGAAGTAGTTCCAGGCTGACTTTTCTGAATTTGAAACTCGTCTCGGCTACTGGGGCAAGGCACAGGGGAAAAACGTGTGCGTGCTGACAGCGACCAAAATTATTCTTGGCCTTTAATGTCATTAATCACGAGAAAGGTATTTTAGCTTCCTCCAAAGAATCTGTGAAGTCTTTTAACATTAACAAAAGGATGTTCAAGCTACTCTCGTTTCAAACTACTTCATTTATTGATGATTAAAAAGAGCCCACTCCAGACGGACAATTTTCAAACGGTGGCCCCTCTGGGCAGACAAATCAGAGAAAGGTGCTCTTTGCTCTGGGCCGCTGCAGACCCACGCTGGCGCACAGGCCTGCTGATGGGCGAGGCCCCCACCCACCTCCGGGGCATAAAGCAGGACGAGGGGAGGGAGTCGGTGTTAGTGCTTGCCACACTTTGGCAGTCACTCACACATTCCTGTTTTTTCTTTTTCTTCACCAGCCTGCTAATTTTCACCACATCTACTGTAATCCCTCACCATTTTCAAGACTTGTCTACCTGAGCCCACACCGTGTCCCTGCCATTAAATCGTGAAGCATCTTGAATTTCTCAGACGTTTAAAAGTTGGCAATCTATACCCCCGAGTCATTAAATAAGTGCATCTGTCTGCAGTTCTCCGGACACCTCTATCAGAAATTATTTGAGATTAGGGATTATGGCATCTCTGCTCAGAGCCGTCAAAGTGTCTTTCCAGAATATGCTCAGAAATATTCCTGACTGATTCTCTGCACGTTGCCTTTTCAGTGTATTCCCACAGGGACTGCGCCCATTGGTTTTCTGTTTTCTAGCTACGTCACGTCTAGATTTTCTTCACCAGCACTTAGCATTTGAAGCTTAGTGAGCGCTAATCAAAGAAACCTGGGCTCTCAGAAGGTTAACTGCAATGTTTGGGGAGAAAATTTTCATGCTCTTGGCTTACATTTATATCTTTCAAAAAAAAAGTCTATTCCCTTTTTAACTTTATTTTTCTTATTTGGCATAATTTACGTAAACGGTGCCTCGTTGCTAGTTGTCAGACCAGGAGGGTGGGGTTTGTAAATGAAGGTTACGGAAGGATTTACTAGGAATCCTCGGGGCCAGAGCTGAGAGAATAGCCTTATATATTTTTTCCGTGAGGCACAGGGTTCATTAATCAGAACCTTTCCAGGAATTTCTAAGACGTGTGAATATTGTAGGCGCGGGGGTGTCTGAGCTGATATGCACGGGGCTGCCACATATGATGAACCTCAGCTTCCATTATCTCCACCTACAGAGAAAATAATGTCCATGACATTTCATTTATCCGATAGAACCACAGGGCCAGAATCCCAGGTGTCACTGCTTGCAAGTCCAATTGCCTCTAATGTAACGGATCAACTACAATTTTCAGCCCAGGTTAGTTATGTTTTTAAAATTCTGGATGACAACCAAGTATCCAGATGAAACACAGTGTTTCCAACATCAGATTGAGTTGATTCTTCAATCATGGCCTGTTATGTCACTGTATCTTTACAGTCCCCTCTGCCCAAATACGTTCTTTTAGGAGACACGGCATTAAAAAAAAAAAATGTGAGCAGCCAGTTTGTTTTGTAAACCCCAGATATCGATTTATTCATCTTTTCCTAATGCACAAAATCCCGGAGTGTCTGACAGCGACCAAACTGGCTGCAGTTTCTTGCACGCATACCATACTTGTATAGATATACGAGGTATTGAATTGAGTGATGAGAAGTTAATATCAGAAAGAAGGAAAGAGGTGGCGGTAAATCGGTCGGATGACGGTCTTACGCACATTGCGACGGTGGAGGTTCGTGGTGGTAGAAAGCCGTTAATCTTAGTTAGCGCTTTTCATTAACCAAATCTTTGGCGTCGGTCTGAGTTTCAAACCATCTTCATGAAGTTTTCCTCCCTTAAGAGCTTGGAGCACAGGTAGGGGTTCAAATTCAGACAAATGGACTGATTTTCTTCCCACTGAGAACCCATGGCCACGCACGTGCATTCGAGAGAGCAGCCCAGTTTATTCTCTTTTGAATGCGTGGGGTTTGCACTTTAAAGCATCTGGGAGCAGTGAACCGCCAGAGCCTTATTAGGAACCGAACGTAGATGATCGTGTGACATTTTCCCTAAAGCCAAGTAGAAAATAACTCCCAATTTAAAAAAATTAGTTCTTCATATAGGAGATTAATGGCATTTCATTCTTAATAGCAATTCTAATTTTAAGTATTTCAATTCAATTAGTCAGCATCTTCCCACTTCGACTGAAGTATTTCAATCATGTACTCACCTGAATCTTGGCAAATATTCAAAGGTGACCTACTGGGTTTGCAGAAGACTGTTATTTAAAAGGACAGGAAGTGAAGAATAAACATAGATATGTCATTGGTAGAGATGTAGCTTTGGACCGTAATTTGTATCTTAAAGTTATTTACACATACAGAAAAACGCTTGCTTGCAAAGTATAATTATTGTTCTGATGTTAACCTGCTTTCCATTATTTTTTTTGTTTTTTGTTTTGTTTGTTTTTGTGTGTGTGTGTGTGTCTTATATAGAACACTGA